AGAGAGAGAGAGAGAGAGAGAGAGAGAGAGAGAGAGAGAGAGAGAGAGAGAGCCCTTGGATGCCACTTTTCACAAAAGGCAGCTTTTAACGCAACAATCAGTGGTTTGCCGCCTGGAGGGGTGCAGCGCGGGTCACGCATTCATTTTCGAAACAAGCAGAAAGTTGTCACACGTTCCAGAGAGAGGAGCCCAGTAGTGTAATTGCCACTCTGCCAGATAACCCCTGCAATCTCTGCAGATACCGAGACTTCCGCTGCACCTTAGCCAGATTTGCATGACTGTCTCCAGTCCTTTGAGGGCCTTGTTAAACATGTTTGTTTTGGTTTTGACAAGTTTCTGTCAAAGACAGACAATGCCAGGGAACTCCAGAGGATGCTTTTTTTTAAAAGTTAGTCAGGAGCTTAATAGCTTCCTTTACTTGAAACCAACATGTCAGTATAACCATGCGTCCAAGGATCTCACATGTCTGTGTTTGAGGATAAACAAGATTATTTTTTCTCCCTGCACGTCTTTGTTGTACTGTGTGTCAAAGTGTCACGTAATAATACAAGCATGAGCTGCTGCTACCCCACGGTGCCGCCGTCGCTTAATGTTTCATAAACGCCATTTGGAAGTAATTCAGTAAGCACCCTCATGAAAGAGAGATGAAATACAGATTGCCACTGGGTATATTAACACCTGTCACATCAGAACAATATCTCTTCGTATTGTTTTAGTTATGTGGCTTTCTATTTTTTATTTATTTATTTTTTGTTTTGTTTTGTTTCCCACCCCTCAACTCTCAGAACGTCACCTTGACCTCTAAATCTATAATTACCTCATCAAATAAACTTAAAAAAAGAGGATTTGTGGAAATGGAGGGAACAAAACAAGCTAAAAACAGAAAGAAACATATCATCACACCAAACGCATGTGAGACGTGTGACGTTTAGAAGTCAGGGGAGCAAAGCCTTGAGGGCATACAATCAATATTACATTTTCCATTGCCACCTTCATAGCTATTGTAAATGGCTTGTGTCAAAAATAATAACAGGTTGTATCAGGAACCTTGGGTTTGCAATTTTGCTCCCTGTGCTCGGAGGGCCCCCGTTCGCTCTGCCTCCCTTTACCCAAGCACCAGGGGTGTTAATGACACCGCAACAGCAGATACTTTTCACACCACAGATGACTTTTTTTTTACTTTCTTGCCATTTATATTTGTTATCTTTTTACTTGTGAGCATTGTAAGAAAATGTGTAAAGGAAAAATGCTCACCACCAGAGCTGATTAGTTTGTTGTGCAGGTTTCAGCATGCATCCAGAAGCATATTATTATTAGCCAGGTGTGAGAGATTAGATCGAGTCTCACTTCTGTTGTCATAGCACTCTAAGCAGCAATATGCAAGACGAGATGCAGTAATATGCACACTAGAGGGGCAGAGAACACTTCACTGGAATCAGATCTACTTTAAGTTATACTCAGTGAGAGCTACTTCACTAAATTTCTCTTATTTTTAAGAGGTGTTGATTGTTTCATCCTTTTCAGCCTTCATCTCCCGTGTGGATGACTTACACTTGGACTCACAAATCCTAAAGTGGATCGCCAACTGCATCTGTCTGTCTGTTAGCAAAATATCTCATGAACCATCAGCATGGAACCATCTCTAGTCAAAATGTCAGATCTCATTCCTTTTAAATTATTAATGACATTAGCTTAAAATTAGGCAACAGAATTCCATCAGTGTCAATGTTATTTTTATTCTTAGAGTTTCTGCCTCTTATGATGGTCTAATATATTTGAATGTTTTCTTATTTTAGTATGGTTGTGACTCATTTAACTTGTTTGTTTGTGCCCAGGTCCGCCTTGAAAGTAAGATCTCAATCACAGTGGGGTTTTAAGTCTGGTGAAATGAAATGAAAACTTCTGGACATATTTTAATGAATTTCTTAAAAATGAATCACTTGTAAGCAAGTAACCTTTGGAGTTAACTCAGTTCATTATAATTGCAGCAAAGTGACACAAAATGACTATAAATCAGTCTGTTTTGCAGATAATGAGCCACAATTTAGTATGGTAGTTGCTGAGAGTCATGTTCAACACATACAGCGGGTAAAATAAGTATTGAACACGTCACTATTTTTCTCAGTAAATATATTACTAGAGGTGCTAATGACATGAWATTTTSACCAGATGTTGGTAACAACCCAAGTGATCCATACATACAAAGAAATCAAACCATAAATGTCCAGAAATGAAGTTATTTGTAATAATGTGGAATGGCACAGGGAAAAAGTATTGAACACATGAAGAAAGGGAGGTGTGAAAAGACATGGAAAGCCAAGACACCAGCTGAACTCTCTCAGTAATTAGAAAGCAAGCCTGTCCCTTGTCAGTGCAAATTATATCAGCTGGTTCAGTCCCAAATGATGGCCAGGTATCACACAAGAACCATCTGATGATGGGTAAAAGTAAAGAGCTCTCTCAAGACCTTCACAACCTTATTGTTGCAAAGCATAATGATGGCATTGATTACAGAAGAATGTCTAAACTTCTGAAGGTTCCAGTGAGYMCTGTTGCGGCCATAATTCAGAAGTGGAAAGAACATYATTTCACCATAAACCGACCACGACCAGGTGCTCCTCACAAGATTTCTGACAGAGGAGTGAAAAGAATTATCAGAAGAGTTGTCCAAGAGCC